AGTTTTGGTTTGCTTATAGAAGTATTATGGTTGCGATGTCACCTGCAGTAGTTTCGGTACAGAGTTTCGCGATGATAAGGACATGGTGTTCTTATTTGAAGACTTCGAAAACGAAGCATTCAACAATTTCATCAGTGTGTCGCCTGCTTCACCCGTACTAGGTGCGGCGGTAGTTAAAACAAGACGCCGACAAGAACTGGTTTGTGATTTAAACTCTTTTAGCTTCCGCTTCTCAGCTTGTACAGTAACCAGATTTTTCAGAATTTGCCTTATCCTCGTCCGAAGCGTCCCATTTACAACGAAATGCTTCGCAATGTCAGTGTGGTCATTGGAAGTGGAGAAGAAAACTCTAGACGAATTTGGGCAAAGTTAATACGTTATATGTCCGGTCATGTTAAAAGAGAGGTACGTCTTTTGCGGCTCATTCTTTTCCCTTAACGGTATAATATTTCTGCGGTTACAGCCGGACGCAACTACCAGCTTGCTCATAACAACTCAAGCGAAGGGTAAGGCTTTTAGGGTGAGTAGTTCCGACCAATGTTGTCTTTGCACTTCAGGGTTGCTAACCATGGTGACATAGTGGAGTAATCATCTAACATAAATACAGTCTGCTTGTAATTCTGAGATTCAATTTCACTGAAATTCTGCTATGCGTAATCGTATTCAGAGGATCTACCCAATCATGGCTACTATTCACTATCATAGCTTATTCGATATGTTTGTTTATTGTCTCAGAGCTTGATAACCTAGAATTTCGAGGCCTTTTTTAAACTCAACTAGATGAAGACTTTTTATGCCACGAATTTTTGTAATTTCCTGTGTGATAACATTGCTTATGTGTCCATAGTTCGCTTACTTGTGGTGGCCTTTGCGTTGTTTCAGCCCTTTAGGAACCGCGTCACCATACGCTTTTTGCTTCCTGTAGCCATATTGCACCCATGGGGTGTTGTGATTCCCCTAAGGTCGACGGACTACTTGAACTCTAATCGTCTGTGCTCTAGCCATCGCGGCAGGACCATTGAGGAAAAATCAAGTAGTCCGTAAACCCCTACCCCTAAGTTAATTTTTCTAGGATTTTAATTTTTGTTACCGAACTTTTTTTTCCAACACGCGATTATTTACATGAGTGAGTGTACGTACAAAAGTGTATATACCATCACACATGCGAATGTACTCAAATGTCTCAATATACTCGATGAAATGTATGTAGTGTGGTTCATTTATCT